CAGACAGACAGACAGACAGACGGAAGACAGACAGACAGACAGACAGACCCACGGACAGGACAGGACAGGAGAGGAGAGGAGAGGACAGGACAGGACAGACAGACAGGACAGACAGACAGACAGACAGACGCACAAGCAGGAGATTGAGAATGGCATCAATCTTGAATGTTGGTCACAAGGCCTGCTACAAGCCCCTAGATTTTGAGATCTCTACTGGGGGAGCTGCTGTGCAAACGTGGGGATCATGGACGGCAAATGATGAAGTGAAGCTGCAGGGTCATGAAGTGGTGCTTGGCTGCCACCAGTGCCGACCCCAGATTGAAGCACTACGTTGTGGCCATAGTCCACCACACTTTGGTGGGAAATGAGCTCTACCGCAAGGGAGCGGTAACCACTGTCCTGCCGGGACACCAAACGCTGGACAGGGCGTGGTTCTATGGGCTCCGGTTGATTGCTCACTATTTTGATCTGAGAATGCAGGTGAGAGTCCAGGTCCTTTCAACCAAGGCATGGGAGGCCTGGACGCATGGCAAACACAATGATGTTTTCCTCGACCTCAACCAGCTGGTCTCCATCGACCAAAGGAGTCGTATACAACCCGTGAGTATCAGTCAAAAGCAGATCAATGAAATGCCGCCTGGTCCTACAATGTGAAGGCTCGTTTGAAAGATGCCGACAAAGTGGCAAAAGAGATTGCCCTCTCCAAGCGGCCAGAGACCGAAGAAGAAGAATTATGCATCACTGACCAGAGGTACCAAAAGATTGCGGTGCTGGCCATTCAGAGAGTGAGGCGTCTGATTGACACGAAGGACCATTTTCTGAACCAAGTCCGCGAGACAAGGCCAAAGAGAAGAAAGACCAGTTGTTCCTCGCAATTGGGAACCAAAAGGTGGAGAAGGCGCACCAATGGGTGGCAAAGCCAAGGGGCCTCCAGTGTGAAGGATGCAAAAAGCGCATCACCAAGCACCTCAAAGTGACGGAGCTTCAGGCCATCAAAGAGGAGGAACGCCCGGCCAGGGCCAATGTGGTCCTGCAGGGTGGGAAAGCTGACCCACCTCAGACCAAAGCAGCTCTGCTCCAAAGCCTGACAGACGGCGCTCATGCCGAAATGGCAAACCACAGTTTCGAGCTCCTGACAAGCTGCTTGGGCTTGCGCGGACAGTTTGCTGGAATCAAACCTGGCAACCAGGAGCTTCTTGGGAGGGCCATCCAAGCCACCAACTTTGGCGGAAAGGTGGGAAAGTGTTCTGCACGGCTTGCAATGCCCACGCCATAGGAGGCAAGTTGGAACATGTGGCCAGCAAAGCATTGAAACGAACGTGCGGCGAAGAAGAGACGATGCACACTTTGCCAACCATGTTCGCTAGCCAAAAGGGCTAAAGACTGAAGCTCAGGAAAAGACACGCAGAAAAAAATACATACACGACAAAACCAACAGCCAGAGCGGCCCACAATACAAAGCAATACAAAAAGCGCCTGATCCACCAATGCAAGCAGGTCTGGACCACCGGCAAGCACCAGTCCGCAGAGGAGCGGCTACATTTGCCAGACATGCCTCACCAGGGCGTATCAAGGGCTCACCACGAAGTCCTTGAACAGCGCATCCATGAACCCTGCCAACAACGGCAATTCGACGCAGAGATGGAACCACCGCCATCACCACCAAAAGCGGTCGGGAAAAAGGTCACAAGGGCCCAGATCATTGCGGAGCTTTTCAAACTCCAGGCGCGACGCCCACCATCTCTGAATGAACGTGCCTTTGCCCAAACCCCAGGATACCTCAAGCGCAGTAAGTGTGGCATTTCTGCGCACAAAAGGGCCAATGATGAGGCCTTCAATGGATTCGTCAACAGTGCATGCATTGACCAGAGCTATGACCAGCCACATAAAGCCCGTCACAGCCACCAGGTCTGGCGCACGGGCAACCGCCGCATCCACTGCAAATCTTGCGGCGTCCAAGCCCACCTTGATGCCAGCGACAATCTTGTGCTCTCAGCCAACCTCCGCAAGACATGCAAAGGTGCAGCCATCAGAGGCTCCCCGGACATCAAGGAGCTCTTCCAGGCCACCAGTCACAAACAGGGGCCACAGCTATCGTCCGCCCTGGAGAAAGGGAACCCACCACCAACGACAGAGGACATTCTCTCCCCAATGCAGCCGCAGTCAAGAAGGGGAACAGCCACACGCTCCTGCCTCATCATCACAGGCCATGACACCCAGCCGAAGCCCTGATGAGCTCACGCAGGACTTACACAACGAGGCCATTGCCGGCCTCCACCGCAGGGTGCCCTTGCACACAACAGACAAAGCTGGCGCCACACCAGTGGCCAAGAATCCAGCCACGGGTAACAGGAACAAGCCAAAGAGGAGGCCATGGAGGTCGACCCTAAACTCGATAATGCCACGCCTGGCCCTGCTGACGCCACCATCGATGTCGAAATCTTTTGATGTGGCGTGGCCTCTGAGGCAAAGGCCAAGCAAACCGCCAAATGCCAATATGGCAGCGCCAAGCTCAACTTTAGAAGACAAACAAATACTTACTTATATACTTACTTACTTACTTACTTACTTACTTACTTACTTACTTACTTACTTACTTACTTACTTACTTACTTACTTACT